GCTCATAGAATATAGCAAAATTATTAGAGTTCCAAAAGAGAAAAAATGGTAGAATAGGAAACTCCAAAATTCCATCCCTCCATAAAAGCAACAAATATGCTAGCAAGAACTATGAGATCAACTTTTTCAGAATTCTGGAATCTAACAAAAAAATTATAACTAGGGGAATGCTGAAGAAAAATGCTGAATTTTAATGAGAGCTCTGTGGCATTTTAACTTACTTGTTACCATCCCCTTACTCCCTGGCTGAGTGGTAGTCTTGAAGATGGCAGCCCACATTCTACGTGCAGGTCGCTGGTACCAGAGGAAGTGATATATACCTTACTCTCAAAAAATTATGGATGTGTGTTTTGACATGTCTAATGGCTCCCTGAAGGACCAGCTCAAGGGCTTGCCTTTGTTTCACCTGCCTTGGAGCTTCCTCATGGCTGAGGTGGCTTCCTGGGTGATATTTGTTAAAAGCATTTAAAGGCAAAAATGTATTAGCTGCTGCCACATGGGGCAAACAATAGACAGACAGACTATAAAGCCTGAGGAAGAAGAGACTGGGAAAGAAGATACTTGGGGAAATTAAGGGCTTTGAGAAGCTCCTGTGTATTCCATGGAATTTAGAAGGCCACACTGATGTCCAGGGCTGGACACATGCTCTGAAAGGATCTGAGAAGACTTCAGGAAATCACCTCCAATTGTTGAAAAACAAAGAAAAAGAAAGAATATTGAAAGTGGCAAGAGGAAGTGATTGGTTATGTACCAGAGATCCTCAATAAGATTAACAGTCAATTTCTCATCTGAAACCATAGACAGCTGAAGGCAGTGGAATGAATGTCAATCAAGTGCTAAAAGAAAAAACCGTCAATCAAGAATTCTATAGCCAGCAAAACTGTACTTCAAAATAAGGAAGAAATCAAGATATTCCTAGATAAACCAAAGCTGTGAGATTTCATTGCTAGTACACCTGCCCCTAGAAGAAATGCTAAAGCAGTCCTTTAGACTGCAATGAGAGGACACTAGACAGTAACTCAAAGCCATATGAAGAAATAAATAATACTGGGAAAGGCAATTACATAGGTAAATATAAAAGCCAGTATTACTATATTTTTGGTTGGTAACTCCTTTTTTCTTTTTCTTTTTTTTCAATCTTCACCAAAGAATATGCTCATTGATTTTAAAGAAAGAGTGAGAGAAACATTGATTGATCACCTTCCCATACACGCTCAGACCAGGGATCTAACCTGCAACCCGGGTATGTGCTCTGACCAGGAATCAAACCTTCAACCCTTTGGTGCAGAGGATGGTGCTCCAACCAACTGAGCCACACCAGCCAGGGTGATAACTAATTTTTCTATATGATTTAATATACTAATGCATAAAATAATAATTATAAATCTAGCAACTGAGTTTGCATTATAATCTCCACCAATAATTCACTATCTCTAAAGTTTTACTTTTATGGCTTTATATGTAAATATTATCTGTCTCCTTGATTTAATAGTTTTAAGTCATTAAAAAAGGTCAGACCAAGATAATGTAATGGTGCTTCCATGGAATTTTGAACTTACATCAGTAGAAAATAAATCTTTTAGCATAAATTGTGGATCCCTTTCCTAATGACTTATTACTGCTCTTCATATCCTTTTCACTGAACCCATCCATCACTTTTCCCACTGTTCCCAAACTCTTCTTTTGTGCTCCTTGCTTAAAAAGCCTCTGACTTTGTGGAACCCCTAATAAAAATTCTGAAACCTTTGGCAGTAACTATAAGTCACAACAATTTGCACAACAGATACTTCCTCTTGGAATTGATTGCTTGTTTTTGAGACCATAAAAACGAAGACTATAATTTTAAGTTATTTTAGAGGGTCACAGAATTTTTGAACTTTTAAAAAGTTCAAAGTGTCAGGAAACTCACAGTAATAGTCTAGAATCCACATATCAGAGATAGTTTTTTCCAGGTAAAAGAGGCAATTAATAAACAAAGACAGTCTTGCACACCTGCAGCTTCCCACACTAGTAAAACTTGAACAGTGAATAGTCATGTAACAAGGGCATAGAATGCGCGGCTGAGATTGGAAGGAGATGAGGCTTGTCAATGTTGACTACTTTGGCTCCTGGTTCTACACCTAGCTCTACCATCTGATGACCTTCACTTCTACTCTTCAACATCCTATTCCCATGGCCATAATAATAGCCTCTAATTGTTGTTAGCGCTGTCATTACTTAAGATATGTTCCACCTCTAAAATCTTCAACTTCAAAAACTTACTCTAACCATAAATTTCCCCTAATCCAGCTCATTATTAACATTCTTACTTCATATATTTCTCATCAACTTCATTTAGACTTTCAGTCCCAGAAATTCTAGATTTTCGCCCAATCTATTGGCAACCTTCTATATTTTATTCCTTAAAAATCTAGCCTAGACCATAGGGCCAATCATTTCTTTCTTTTATCATTATATTTAATTTTTTTATTCCTTATCTTTGATCCTTTATCTCCTTATTTTTCATCAGACATTTAACTTCTCTGCTGTGATACCTAGCTACTCTGTGTTCCTGGAATACTCAAAAATTCAGACTACAGTTGCTATGATTTCATGGTCAGTAACTTCATTTAGTTTCTCATAATTTTCCTTTAACCTTTCAACACTTACCCAGTTAGCTCCCTCTGAATACCAAACAAGACCTGACAAAATGAAGAGATATACCATGACTTTCAAAGTGATTACTTATTATCTTAAGAATGTCAATCCTTCTGAAATAAATAACTTAAGTGCCATTTGAATAAGATTCTAATATTTATATTTAGAGTAAATATTTTAAAGTTCATATGGCAGAAAAAGTATATGAGAATTGAAAGGTTGAAAAGAATAGTGAAAACAGATTTCCCAGATATTAAAACTTCCTACAAAACTACCATAATCAAAACAGCCTGGTATTGGCATTAAAACAGATTAAGTAGAATAGTAAAATGGAATAGAAAGTCCAGAAATATATCCATATATTTATGGGACCTTAATATAAGATGAAAATGTTATTCTCAAGTAGGAATAACAACTAAGGAAAGCTATTATTAGCAAATTGACTTGTCAATTGAAATACAATCAAGTTAGACTCTTACCTAATACCATATTAAAAATAAATTTGATGTATTATAGAACTTTTAAAACTTTATTAAAATTTTAGAATAAAATTTGCAAGATTATTTGGATAAACTTGGAACTACGGAACCTTTTTAAGGAAGACAAGAAAAATATTTTTTTAAAAGAGAAATTATGTATTATTTCATAAATCTAAAGACCAATGATATAAAGTTTTAACTTTATGAAGTATTATAGTTCTAACCAAGTAAAATTACATTTTGACATTTAAATGATATTAAATAAAGTTCTAGGGCAACATAGGAATGATATATTTGTTATATAAATGATCCCTTAATTAGAATTTCTATTCTTTTTTTTTTGTAATCCTCACCCAAGGATATTTTCCATTGCTTTTTTAGAGAGAAGGGAAAGAGAAAGGGAGAGAGAAACATTGATCGGTTGCTTCCTATATGCGCCTTGATGGGGGATTGAACCCGCAACCTAGGTATGTACCCTGACCATTAATTGAACCCTGCAACCTTTTGGTGTATGGGACGACACTCCAACTGAGTCACCTGGCCAGGGCACAGAATTTCTATTCTTGCTGTCTGACTTTTTTAGCTGAAAGAGCTGAGAGGCTCTACATGTAAATACCCAAGAGAACTGAAGAAATTATATTGATCAATATAAAGTAATCCTATAACTAAAAATTTTAAAGTTTATTTGTCTAAATATATGTCAGACTCTTTAACTCCCCCAAATTTCCAAAATATTATTCTAATGCCTCTTAAATTACTTTCTTTGCTACATTCTTTATATTGCAAAAAGCTTAAAGAATACTAGCTAAAAACTTGAAATAAAAACCTACATTATGTTCGGTTTGAAATGTGTTTCAGAATTTGGTTAAGGTCATCAGATAACTGTGCTTCATCACCTGTACAAAATTGAAATTCCATCTGATTTTTAGGCTTTATTTAAAAATTATATACATATATATTTTAAATTATAAATAAACTATAAAGATATATATGCTTTATGTTCCTCTCATTTACTTGATTCCAATGTGCTTTCTTAAGAGGAAGAGAAATATGCAAAGTCTAGAGAATGTACTCAGATTTGCTCATAAACCAGGAGATATGAATTATGGTGACATGTGTGTTAGAGAAGAAAAGAGGTTTGAGCCACAAGAATAGATAGATATTATAGAACGCAGCTGGAGTAATTATTCAGATTTTATGATGAATTGTTTAATACTACTAGTTAAGAAGCAAGGTTTTGTGCTGGCTGCTGGGGATATGATATAGGTCAAGATAATCAGGATTCTTTTCCTCTTGAAACTTACATTCTAGTGGGGAAAACAGATCTGAAACAATTACCCACTACTCATTTAATTATGGTTATGGTAAATGCTAAGAAGGCAAAGGGAAGAGTAGTGAGGTAAAAGGGGTTATCTAATCTAGTGTAGTTTCCGGGAAGTAGGGGAGGCTTTTCAGGGGATATGAAGTCTAAATGTAAGACCTCCAAGCCGGGCAGAGTAAGAGAAGTAGGGCATGGAAGTGGTGTCAGGAGATTACAACTGTTTGCAGGAGAAAAGCTGGAAGAAACTGAATTGAAAGTCACTGGAGTTGCAGTAGGAGAACAGGATAAAATAGGTGAGGTGGGTAGGGGGTCTCATAGGCTATATTAAGTAATCTACATTTTTTTCCTATGACAAATAAAAAAAAACACACTGAAGGGTTTTTAAACTGGGGGTCAGTTTGTTTTTTTTAATAATTCCATCTTAACTTTTAAATTTAAACTTCTAACTTCAGTAGGTTTTCTTAAGAACTATTGTTAAATAATCAAATGTGAGATGGCTTCCCATTTCTGCTTCAAGTTTAGTTCTTCAAAGACTAGTCTCTGGAAAGAATATCATTGCATACCCTGTTTCCTCTGGAAATGAAGAGGTGGTACTTCCATCAATCTGACAGGGGTCCTGAGAAGGAGAGTCAGAATCTTTTCTATCTTGATTTGTAGCAATATTGGTTACTCGATGTTGCAAGTCCCACTGTCGTGCTACGTTGTTAATTGTTAACCTTTTCTTCTCCTGTGAAAAAGTTTATTGTAAAAAATTCATAAAGCAATTTTTTTAGCAGGAGACTATCCAAGGAGCATATTGTTTTTACTACTTATCACACTTTTAAAGGGAGTCTATTCCTTAAAAGTAGCTACTAAAGTATTCTAAAACAAAGTACAACTGGTCTTTATTTACCTTGTGCATTCAAACATCTTAGTAAAGGTCTATCACCCTTAAAGAAAAACAAATATATACAAACAATAATTACTCCCATTGGAGATATAAAAATTCACTACCTGAAAGTTTAACAGAAATTTATATACTTAAGTGTTATCTGAAATTTTGATTTAACAGAGATTTACATGCCTTTGTGTTTAAACATAGAAAGAAAAGATAACATTTTAATTTTCCTACTCAATAATTAGGAATAATATGATGAAATAATCTTGGCAGGGAGGAGAGAAGGAAAGGGACTGATCAATGTTCCAAGCTTCACAGTGTAAATTACAATCTCTGAAAATTAGTAATTATATACAGACTACTAAAAGAAATTGTACTAGGTTGAAATATTTCTAGGTAACTAGTACCACCTTAGATGAATATGAAAGAATTTAATTCATGATATGCAATGGATACCTTAGGGAAGTGGTTCTGAAACTTCAGAGTGCCTCAAATCACAAGGAAAGCTTATTAAAAAACTAATTGCTAGTTCCTACTCCATTCTGATTTAGTGGGTTTCAGGTGGGGCTCTGGAATTTGCATTTCTAACTCCCAGGTGTTGTTAATGGACTTCACTTTGAGACCCACTGATTAGGGCATTGGAGCTCCCTTCTCTCACAGAAACCTGTTGAAAAGGCAGATCTAGACTACCCAAAGAAACTCTGCTAGGTTGAAATGTTTCTAGTCAACTTATATAAATGCATTGGGGAAAATAATCACCTATTCTATTCTATTCTATTCTATTCTATTCTATTCTATTCTATTCTATTCTATTCTATTCTATTCTATTCTATTCTATTCTATTCTATTCTATTCTATTCTATTCTATTCTATTCTATTCTATTCTATTCTATTCTATTCTATTCTATTCTATTCTATTCTATTCTATTCTATTCTATTCTATTCTATTCTATTCTATTCTATTCTATTCTATTCTATTCTATTCTATTCTATTCTATTCTATTCTATTCTATTCTATTCTATTCTATTCTATTCTATTCTATTCTATTCTATTCTATTCTATTCTATTCTATTCTATTCTATTCTATTCTATTCTATTCTATTCTATTCTATTCTATTCTATTCTATTCTATTCTATTCTATTCTATTCTATTCTATTCTATTCTATTCTATTCTATTCTTCTATCCTATCCTATCCTATCCTATCCTATCCTATCCTATCCTATCCTATCCTATCCTATCCTATCCTATTCTTCTATTCTATTCTATTTTATTCTATTCTACATTATCAAAAGTTAACATTTTTATATGGTATGCCAATTAGATCAGAGGCTGAAAATAAACACATTCCTTTTCCTCTTTACTGAGAGCACAACTGTCCAATGAAAAATCAGTGTGTGATACTGACCCCTCTTCACCCTCTCCCTCTGGAGCCAATAAAGGCTGTTGGGAAGATTCTCTGCCCATTTGCTCAGTACATATATACATATAGAATAATTATTTTTAGTTCCACCTCTTTGCCTATACTTGATTATCTAAAATTTTAGCATGTAGAAGTGGCATTGAATAAGAATAAAAATGATGACAAAGGTAATTAAAACTAAACTTTTTAGAAGTTCTATTTCTGTTTTTAGAAATGTTTTTAGCATTTTTTCTATTGCTTGCTATTTCAGGTTTATCTATATAGCTATGTGGGTTATATTTAATATGTATATACTTCTGAGACTTTTTGACATTTTATATATGTCCTCCTTATCGAAAGCAAGTAGGAATATGCTATTCTACTATAAAAATATTTTTCTAAATCTATAATAAAAAGGCATTTGACCTGAAGAAACTCAGTTATTTGCAGATGACTAGAATAATCCAACCTAAGCAGTCTTAACCTAAGCAATGCCAATATTTCTATTTATTATCAAGGCCACTTTGAAAGAGGCAGGGGCAGTGGGTTAATAGAGGATCACTATCATGAGGGCTACATGCATTTGGTTTTCTGGCTGACTGGAGGCTGACAGAGAGAACTATTCTTAATAAGGTAGATATAACAGTATTCAGAAAAAAGACAAAATAATTTTACACAACTGAGTATAGAAAATAATTCATAACAAGATACTCTGAAAATGTAAACACTTTCTGACACCCACCCCAAAGTTAAGCATCCTTTACTTGGGTTATTAAAATCAGATACGTTGACTAAGAGAATTTTTTTTATACTGGGCCCAGGAATAGGGAAGACATATTTTGAAATGGGAGTGCAGCCTGGGATCAGGTGGGAATCACTGGCTGGCCAGGGAGACACATAAGGACTCCGGATATCTGTGAGCAAGGGGAAAAAAGAAGCAAACGAACATAGTACAAAGATATAAATTCTGCAAGGCAGAAGGGGGTGGGGGTACCCAAAGAAAATTTTATGCTCAATGATCATAGATGCATTTGGCATATCAGTTACAGTCATGTGTCTAAAGCTAGACGGCAATACGTTGCCAATTCTGTGTTAGTGAAAATTATTTTAGAAGATGCCAAATTTCAGCTCTACCACTTGAGTCAATTCTTCATAGTCCAAGCAATACCACACCAGTATATGACATGACTATCACTTCCATTCATTTCCAAGCTTGCAAGAGAAGTAGACAGAAAAGTAACAAGGCAGAAGGCATGTGTCTATGTGCTCTCCCTGTCGCTCTACAACCACCCATGCCATTTTCTTAACCATCAATGCGTGTTGGCATGTGAAACAGTCCCCAGCAAATGCTGAGGGTCTTTTGTATCATGGCCCCCATTCTGAGCTAGGGCTAGAATCCAGGAGTCCTGATTTCCCATGCTTTCCTTCTTATTAAAATTTTTAAAAACTAAGTAACCCTCATAATTAAAGAGTCCTATTCAGTGACTACAAGAGAAGCATTAGCTATATTTTGAAGTTTTCACAAAAACTTACCAAACATTAAAAAAATACTCTTACTAAAAATTTAATGGCACATTTCCAAAAATGCTGATGATAACAAGCAGCTGAATTGGGCATATAACAAAAAAATTTCAGTTCAAAGTTTGTCAAGTGCAATCCGTTGCTTATAGCAGGCTCTACTTATTAGAGCTAAATCATAAATGGAGTTTGTCTATCTTTCCTTTCCAGGCTCTAAGGCTCGTACAAGTGTTCTTTGGGTCTGAAAGCTATCGTCTACTTATTCCTTTATGCATTTTTGTTCATTTATTCACTCATTCACTTATGCATCTGACAGTAGCAGTGGCATGGTAGGAAATACTTTTCTGAAGTGAACCCATTGGAAAGTTTGCCAGTATTGGTATCTGGCAATGGTGAATCTTGCTCCAATAAATTAAAAAAATACTGCCTACAACTATATTTCCTTTAAGGCAGTCAATGTGGTTTGGCCAACCATTAGGGATATTCCATTGCAGGGAAAAAGAAAATCTTATTGGCTAAATCAATAAAAACGCAGAGACGTCAAGAGGGGGCTAAAGCACATCTAATTTATGGAATGAAGGGAAACAAAAGGTGGGGAGGAATCAGCAGGTTAGAGATAATAGAAAGCAGAAAAATCTTAGTATCCTGAGTAATGGTTCTAATAACTTTTGAAGTAGTAGTCCTGAGCTGAGAGGGCTTGGGACCAAGCTGGTTCTCTTTTTTGCTAATTTAAGAGTAGTTTTCAAAGAGTAAAATACAGAGATTAACATGTACCCGTTGATGAGTTTTGGCAAATGCATACACCTGTGGGTAATCCTTAGCCCTATCAAGATATACATTTCCATCACCCTCCTAAGTTTCCCTGTTTCTCAATTTTATTATATACAACTTGGTATCCCTAGTAGTCATTTTTTGAATTCTGAATGCCATTTACATTTTAATTTTAAAAAGAAAAGCACCTAGTTTTAGAACATAACATAAAGCATAATACAAGACATAAGCTTTAAGCTGTGTTTATTACACTTCGCGATGTTAATATAAAATATTTTAAAACAAAATATTTTAAGGAAAGACATGTCTGATATGCTAAATCACTTAAAACAAGTTTAAAACAAATTTCAATTCCTAAATTCCTCAAAATCTTTACCACTTTTATATCAGAGAAGCTAACAGAAAGTTTTCAAATTTAGAACTTTAAATGCCACCAGGAAACAAATGATAACTTCTGTTATATTTATTTTTATCTCTTTCTTTTAAAATAGCTTTTGCATGTGTTTTATAATGTATATTATAATGTATTTCAGAAGCACAAGTTTATGTATAGGTAGTAAACATAGGAAAATTTTAGGACTGTTTAGAAAAAACATTCTATTGATAGCAAGGAATATTTTAGAGTTGGAGACCACTTTTCTAGCTGGCTAGCTAGCTTCAGTGCAGTGAGTATGGGCACACACAGCCGTCGGAGGAAATACCTTAAGCAAGGATTGTTTGTGACTTTCCCGCTTCTTTTCTTCCTCTTTTTTGGCTACAACAGATGCCATACGCCTTTCTTCTTCCTAAAGAAATTTTAAAAAATTATTAAGTATTTAATCTTTTTTATGCTAAATATATTTTGGTCTGCAAGTCTGGTTTTCTTTGTGACAGGCATACTACTTAGCTAATAGAAACTATGCCCTCAAAGAAAAAGTTAGCACGTTCTTCTTTATTCACTTCTGAATTCTAAAAAACCCACATTCTAAACTCTATTCCCAACTCTGGATGTGAGATAAATGTAGCTAATATGAGAGAGAGAAAATGATGGAGAGAAGCAGAAAAAGAGGGGACAGGCTTGTATACATTTTCCTTGTACACTGGGCACAATAGTTCCACATAGAAAGACTTAAATTTCTATCATTAAGATTAAAAGGATCAAAGTGATACTTCTAACAATTGTGATTTTATCTATGGGTTGCAAATCAGAGTTTTATTTAATGACAAAACAAGAGTGAAAGTCATTTATAATTCTCCATTGATTACATTAATTCTCCATTAATATCATTCCTTTTACTTTATTTTTAAATTAATTTGGAGTCTAATTTCTTAAATTCTAAAAACTGTGAAATAACATTATAGGCAGTTCAGAACATTTTTAAAAAATCAGTCATAGCCTGGCCAGGCGTGGCTCAGCGGTTGAGCATCAACCTAGGATCCAGGAGATCGTGGTTCGATTCCCGGTCAAGGCACATGCCTGGGTTGCGGGCTCGATCCCCAGCAGGGGAAGTGCAGGAAGCAGCCGATCAATGACTCTCTCATCGTTGATGTTTCTGTCTCTCTCTCTCCCTCTGCCTACCTCAAAAAAAAAA